ATTCCGCATTACCTGTTTACGCAGCCAGCTGAAGTCCTGACCTGCTCGCTGATATTTCCTTAGGCTCCAAAGCCTGTGCCCTAGGCAAAGAAATAAAATCAAAGGAGACAGATAGATACCAGATCACCAACATGTCCTGAGCATCCCCACACGCTTGTACCAGAGGCAGCTGCCCTCGAGTGCCTTGTGCTTCTCTTACTGTGGCTGTGAAGTGGGAGATGCAGCCAAAATCCTCCAGTTTGCTCCTCTGGAGAGGAGAGCGAGGGCAAAACCATCTTGAGCCAGAAGAGCAGATGTCTGGTTAGTTTGGTTTTGTGTCTGTGCCTTGAAGATATTTTTGCTGTCCTCATCTCACTGCCAGGTTGATGGAGGCTGGGGCTGGCAGGGCAGCCGGTGCTGGTGGTGCTTCCCACAAAGGGAGCATCCTGCTGCCTGCCAGGGCCTTGCACCACTGCTGGGAGGTTGTTTTTATTTGTCAAAAAGGTGTTTGGTGGAAGCCAGCCATGGGCTGCTGGGACAAGCTGTGCAGCTGCTGTGCCAGCCGAGGCTGCTTGCCCTGAGCGTGTGGTGGGGACATGAGCTCATGTTTAATGGCAGATACTGGCGATAGTAGCCTGGCTTCACTGTTAATAGAAGCCGTCCCTGTTGTGGGTGACACGTGGGGGATTTTGGGCAGGCTGGGACTGGGTTCATGCTCTGTCCCCCCGTCAGGCTTGCTGTGACACCAGGAGCCTTGTGGGATGGGATGCATCAGGATGCAGCACCTTCACCCACCTTCCAGCTGCTCTTGCAGGCATCTCAGGCTTGCCCAGCTGTGGGGATGAGGAGGGAAGATCCCACGGCAGCGCCCCAAGGGCTGCCGTGCAGACACCACATCCAGAAAGCTGCCCAAACCTTTCCGTGTCAGGCGCTGCCTTTTATAACCGGGGGCTACCTGGAGCAGTGGGGGTGCTGTCACTGGTGGTGATTCCAGCCCACCCTCTGGTTTGAGAATTCAGCCCCCAAAGCCTCTCACCTCGCTGGTGCCTCACAGCTCCCTGGGTCCCGCCAGCCGCAGGGCGGGGGGCAGGAAGCGGCTCACCGCACCCTGCTCTGCCCAGCCCTCCCGCCTACCAAAGCCCTCAGCTCTGCATTCAAGACAGTAAATAAATAAAAGCACCAGTCTCCAGCTCCTTCCCGGGGCCGTGGGATGAGTGGGGGTGAGTTGTGTTCCCAGCTCAGCCTGCCTGGGAGAGCAAAGTGGGGTGACACCGAGAGAGCTGGTGGGACAGCTTAGGATGCTCCGAGAGGTGGGAGCTGCTCAGTGCAGCCACGCTGGTGCCCCTTCCCTGCCCCTTTTAAATTTAATTAACACAGCAGAATAACCTGGTTTCTTCCTCAGGATTAGGTTAAGAAAACAAGTCGGTTTTAATAGCCCCTTTACGTCCTACATAGATTTCTAACTGAAGAACCTAACTGGTTTGGCAGTGCAGCCAAAGAGCACATCTTTTTCTTCTTTCTTTTCCCATTTTTGCCCCCATAACCTGATGCCAACAATCCTGTGCAAGTGGGTTCCTACCAATAATTCAGTGCCCAGCTCCTGGCTGTGCTGTTCTGTCCAATTTCCATTGCCTCCTGACCTCCATCCTTCTTTATTTGCAAAGCTATACTCGCAGGCAGTGGTAATAAATCAATTAATGACTCTGATGAATCGTTTAATGGCTGACAAAATAACACTACAGTCAACAGCTTGGATCTCTACAGCAGTACCAGAAGATGCTGGTTGACTCAGGGTAGGGAGACGAAACAGAGACTGTTAGCTCAATTAGTGCAATTAGTGTGCGATTTAAAGGCTTAGATGGCATCTGCTGGCGTACCAAGCCGGTGTGTTAACTGAGAGCTTCGGTTTGGAAACGCAGCATGGTGATCCAGATTGTCATATTCTGCTGGTTTCCATCAAAAAAGGGGAAAAAATCCAACGTTTGGGGGAAAAAATTCAAATAAAATACATATATCTATATATATAGGTATGTGTGTATATATAGCTATATGTGCGTGCCACAGGAACTGCGTTGTGTTTCCAGCATGGAGCAAATTTACCATCTAATAAAAGGCAAACGAGCTGGCATGATGGCTGTGCCTGGGCTCTCCTTGCACTGTGCTTTGGTGGAAGGGAACTTGGAGCATTGCATGCTGATAAGGACCTTCGTGTGTGGCTGGAGGTGCTTTAGGTTTAGCAAATTAGTTTCTTCACCAAAATAGTAAAAATAATCCAGGTGGGGCAAGCTGGGAAGGCAGAAAAGTCCTGTTTGTTTTGGAAATACGTTCTGGAAAGCCCTTGGGTTTGGGTGCTGACCCTCAGGGTTTGAGTGCTTGTCCATGGGGTTTTGGAAATTTGTTCCCACTCTCCCTTTTTTCCCCCTTTTTCTTCCTTTTCTGGCGCATGCCCAGGGTTTTGTAGAGCTGCTCCAGCTGTGGCTACGCTCCCGTTGCTTCTGCGGGGCTAAAGGTGCCTCGGTGTTTACCTTAGCGGCGGTGATGGGGAGGGGAATAAAAAAGAAATAAAATGTCACTTCGCAGCCTTGTAAATCATTCATCAAGGGCTGACCAATTTGGCTCCCATCCTACAATATGCTCAGGGCACTTGTGGGTTTTTAATTACCGAGTTCTGCCAAGCGCCACATGTGCGAGGAACTTTAAATCCCCGTTTACGCCGCAAAGGCGTAGGTGAGGTTTCGGGGTGTTTAACGCGGAAAAATACCCTGTGGTTTTGTGGGAAAAAATGGGCATTTTGCTTCAAGATTTTCTTTAGCTGCTCTGCCCTCTGCTCCCTGTTGCAGAGGGAAGGGGGAGGGCAGCGTACGTTTCCCCTGGATCCCATCCTCATTCCGCACCGCTTTGGGATCCATTTCGCTTTGGGAGATTCCCCCATCGAAGGATTATGGTGTGCTGGAAATCTCTTGAAACCATAAAATATCACCTTGGCAGCTTTATTGCAGCCCTCACTGCCTTGGGAGAGGAGCGTTTTGCGTGATAGAGGGTTTAATAAAGGAAATTCCAAATGGGCTCGCTGCAGTTTGGGGCTCGGTCTTATATATTTTTGCATTAAGAACCGTCATCTGCTTTGCAGAGAAACTGCAATATGTTCATGGCCTTGGATTAAGATTTGGTTTTACTTTTATAGCTGACCCACTTGGGGGGATGGAGGGAGGGGGAGAACTGGGTTCACTCCCTCTCCTGTCTATTTTTGCTGCCGTCTGATGTATAAAAAGAGCCTGGAATGGGCAGGCTTATTTTTCCTGCCAGGACTTTATTTTTTTTTTTGTTTTTATTAACTGTAAAAATACTCAGATCTGGCCTTTGCTGTCAGTGTGGGGAAGGCTGCTTGGGGTGCCTTGTTCAGGGGCACAGGGGGAGCAAGGCGTCGGCTGTGTCTGGGGGCTCAGGACCTTATAGCCTCAGGTTGTTTTGCCAAGGAGGTCTTCTTTCGGGGGGGGGAATTAACCTACACTGTTGTCTCTGATGCTCGCAGCTCTGAGATGCTGGGGTGGGAAAAGCAATCGCTCATCCAACACGGTTCTGGCCTACATCCCATATCTCTGGCTCCTGCCAGAGAGTGGGATGGAGTGAGGCACAAGGGATGCCCCTGGTAAGGCTCATGGCAGCAGTGAGCTTGTTGGTCTCCTGCCCCTGCAGGGCTTTCTGGTCTGGAATAGCGAGATTCCCAACCAAACATGGGGGTCCCACCTTGGCAAGTCATAGCACTTAATAGTAATCCTTAGTTTTCTGTGCTGCCCAAGTCCTGACATTCCAGCTTCCCCCCTCATTGGATGTGGTTGGTGTCCAGAGCTGGCATGGCTGCTGCTGGGACATGGGCTTTGAGGATCCCAGAGGGCTTCAAGCTTTGGGGTAAAACCCAGCCTAAGCAGCCTCACGTGCAGCCCATCTGCTCATGGCATTTCCTCGGTGGAAAATTTTTCCACCAATTTTTAAAATGGTAGATAATTTTCCTCGACCCTGCCATGTGGTTTTAGGTGGGTAAATCCATCATGAAAATGTGTGGAGGGAGTAGTTCAGTGATCCAAACCCAGTGAATATCACTGAGGGTCCCTTGTAACTGCCCTGGGAATGGGGGGTTGTTTGGCAGTAGGTAACTGAGAGTGCACTCCAGAGGCACAGGTATCACTTCTAACCCAGCAGGGACGTGTTGCCAGCAGTGGTCTTAAGAAAAAGAGCATTTTCCTGCCATTTTCCTTCTGGGTTGGAGCATCCCATCACACTGCTGCTTTTCCAAGGCAGTTTGGTGCACATTGCTCTTCCCTCAGCACTGCCAGAGCTGCTCCTTGCACTAGAAAAATCCAGTTTTTCTATGAATGTACCTCGCGGAGAGGAGGTAAATACTAATGGAGATGCTGAGCAGGAGCAAGCAGGGTGTCCAAGTTTCCTGTGTCCCCCCTGTTCCTCCTTTTTGGGGATGGAGCAACTTGAGTGGCTTGTCTTGGGGAGGTGCAAGGAGGAGCATGACCCTGCAGATGGGGTGTGATGAATTTGGAAATCCATAATAAACCTTGGTGTGCTGGTGAGGTCATGGGGGCATCTTTATTTGGAGGACAGAACTGAACGGTTTAGGAGGGGGAGCTGAGGTAAGAGAAGCATTTAAAAAGCCTTAAAACAGCTTCTACCTGAAGTGACATGTTGGATGAGGCTCCTCAGTGGACTAACAAGACTAAATGCCTGGGTAAATTAATAAAAAGACCCCAGAATTATCCCTGCTTTTCGCTCAGCCATCTTCTCCTTGGGTGAATCACAGAGGCTGGTGCCCCTCTGGCTCCAACCACCTTCTGCTCATTCCCCAGTTGGGAGAAGCTGCCTGTGGCTCAGGGAGCGATGCTTGGGGCTCTGGAGGCTGATGGACTCAGTGTGGCGTGGCAGGAGAGATGGCTTTTTTAATGTGCTTTCTTTTTTTCCCCCTCAACTCCGACTCAACCCCACCATGTTTGTCCTGGTTTTGTTCCCCACAGAGCGCAGCTGCCGCCCCGAGTCCCGTGCTTGGAAACATTCCCCCGAACGACGGGATGCCCGGGGGCCCCATCCCGCCCGGTTTCTTCCAGGTAGGCTGCTGCTCCTCCCCATGCCCCACTCCTCACCGTGCACGTGTTGGCTTTTGCTCTGGGTGTCAGCGCTGTCGTGCCTGTGGTTTTTTTCCCAAGGGGGTGCTTGGGAAGCAGCATGCCCGCCTAGCTGACCTGTCTAGGAATGACTGCCCGTTCTGCTGTCCTTCCACGTTTGCTTTTTATTTTTTGTGGCCTTCAAGCGAATTTCTTTCTTCCTCAAAGAGGTTACTGTGTATTTACAACCAATGTGTTGTGTTTTTTTTTCTTTTTCCAAAGCTGCTTGGTTTGTGTTTGGGTTGAGATTGTATTCGTTCTCCGCTCCTAACAGACGTTGCATAATTGAAAACATTCTGGATTTTGATTCCTGAAACATTCCCCCCCCCCGCCCCCCTGTTCCTCTGGTTAACCGCTTGATTTTTTCCAAATGCAATCACTGAAAGCATTAACAAACGCTGGCTGTGGCTGCAGGCAGGAGCCAGCTCTGGCCAAGTCCCCAAAAGCCGTGGAGGCACCTTGTAAGCGAATACCTACCAAAGTCCTCTTGCTCCTCCTCCCTCACCAAGCTCTGACTGAGGAGGGGTAACGTGTGTTTGGAGTGACACTGATGGAAAGGATCTCGTCGTGTACACAGAAAAGAAGTTTTCAGAACTTGAACCCTGGGGGTTTCTGGGGGTTTCTTTGGAATCTCTTTGCATGGCACGAGCCGCACTGGTTTGCAGCGACATAAGCTCTTGGAGCATTAAAATCTTCTTTCTGGAGGAAGAAGCACTTGTCCGTGTAACAAATGGGACAGGAGTTGAAAGGGATATTTGTTTTGGCAAGCTGGTTTTCTTTTTTTTTTCCCCTTTATTTGTATTTGGGAGAAGTTCTCGGGCAGCAGACAGGCGGGCTCGATAAGGCGCTTGTGATTTATTGTGGTGATATCTGAGCCTGATACCACCGTTTGCTTGTGTATGGGAAGGGGAAAGGAGGGTCCTGGTTTTTTGGTTGTTTGTTTGCTTTTTTTCGAGAGAGCTCCCATTTCAGGAACACGCTGGTGACAAAGTAAGAATATCCGATATTGATCGGGAGCCCCAGCAGACAGGCGGGCTCGATAAGGCGCTTGTGATTTATTGTGGTGATATCTGAGCCTGATACCACCGTTTGCTTGTGTATGGGAAGGGGAAAGGAGGGTCCTGGTTTTTTGGTTGTTTGTTTGCTTTTTTTCGAGAGAGCTCCCATTTCAGGAACACGCTGGTGACAAAGTAAGAATATCCGATATTGATCGGGAGCCCTAAACCAGGCAGATCTCTTGTAGCCGCGCTCGGCGGCGCGGGGGGAGCCGGCGGCAGAGATGCTATCTCGCAGGTCAGAGCTGCTGCCAGAAGTTGGAGGGCCAAGCTGC